AAGGGCACTCAAATAACCAATAATTGTAAATTATTTCTTATTGTCGACTGATAACTGATTTGTTATTGATTTCATTTATTATTTAACAAGGCAAAAGTTGTTTATCTTTACCTAAAAACAAATATTAAAATATAACAAAAAAATTATGACCAAGCTGAAGACTTGCCATAACATTGATAATATGGTAAGGTTTATTTTAAATTCAAAAGAGTAATATTACCCTTAGCATCTTAAATTAACACTCTGCAAATATTCAAGATGCTACACCTTAAATTAACACTCTGCAAATATTCAAGATACTGGAAGAAATGAAATTAATAAGTGTTTAAAATGATTTTTAAATTCACTAACTTAATCAACAAAATTTAATTTATACACACCATCAATAATACAGACAACAAAACCAAACATAAAAGATCAGAAGCCCATAACGCTCAGAAACATAATTTGGTAAACAATATAATAATAAGTCGCTAAAAACTTACACAAGGATTACAATATATAATCTAATAAAAATTACAGAAGGATTACAATCTAATAATATATAATCTAATAAAAACTAATACAAGAAATACAATATATAATCTAATAAAAATTACACAAGGATTACAATATAAAATCTAATAAATAATATAGTAATAACTCGCTCAAAAAAACTTATTAAAATGTTTTTTTCTCCATAAGAGATATTAATTTTTATATAAAAACAAGATCATTTTTTTAAATACAATATTATCATGAGACATAACGATGTCTATTGGCAAACATATAACTTTTTTAATTATTTCTTCTAATTATACCAAGTGAAAATTGATTGGTTTGTCTTTGACCAACACCTGAACAGTTGCCATTACCTTCAGTGTTGTCAACTGCATCCTCAATAAATACTACGTTGTCTGGATCTTCTAAACCAAGTAAATTGCACATGTTTTCGAGTATTATACAAGTATAAATTACTGAGCAGCACTTGAATGGGGTATATTGAAGTGTTCCAACACTTTTATGTAGACACCAAAAAAACGTTTTATTTCACTTCGAACCCTTGAGTGAATTTTGTTAAATAATATTTCCTCAGGGTTTAATGCAGGACTAAATGGAGTAATCATGACAGGTGAAAACCCATAGCCTGAATCACCGAAAAGAAAACCTGAAGCTGGATCAAGCTCCAATGTCTGTTTCAAAGTTGAATTTGAATAAACAAAAGCATCGTGAGACGATCCTGGAAATTTAATAACAGCATCTCGAAATTGTCCATCTGGATCAACAACAAACTGGCAATTTATAGCAGAATAGCCCTTTCTAAGAAATAAAGTTACACATTATGCTTAGTAAAATCAATGAATTTTTAAGAGTTAGAATACAGACTCTGAAAGTAAAACTTTTTACATCTGATCATTTTAAATCTTACAGAAAATAAATATAAATAAAAAATAATTACTTGCATCTAGTGGTTAGATGGTCTAGGGGTTGAATTTAAAGCATAACTTCAAATTCAACCCCAACCACATGATTTTCGAATTGGTTCATTCCAAAAAAAGAAGAAGTGTATGCCCTCTAAAAAAAAAGAAGATCCTCAAAACTTCTGTGGGTGTCCTTAGCTAAAAAAATGGGGCTCCTTTTTTCTTGCCCCCAGCAGCTGAGATATAGACCCATAGCTGGAAGGAGATCATCAATCATATTATTTATCTATTATTCTATCTATATGTATCATTCCTACTTGAAGATTACAGTAAACTATTTTTTACCTGCAAATAAAAGCTGGCTCATCAGCCCCTGTGGCTCCTTTGATGGGCACCATTGTACCATCAATTAGACCCAAAAAAACCCTTTACTCCCCAAGCATCAAAATATCTTCTTTTTACTTCAACCATTTCCTCTCGGCTACTGTACCATTTGACAAGATAACTGTAGTGTTTAATAAAAAATTTACAAAACTGATGAATAACTCTACTGGTGCTTGTCTGGCTTATTGCAGAAGTGTCTCCTAATATTAAATAACAAAATTTTTAAAGTTTCATAAGGATGTAGAAACCTCTAAAATGTTTATATTTACCAAAACATTTTTAAACATTTGTGGTTTTATACAAAATATGTAAACTCGATTAGTGATAAAATTTGCCATAATTCTAAAGATCATATTAGGTTTTTGTGTCTTAAAAACCTACATTAAAAATGAGATCAGCTTATTCATTAGCTTATTCATTATTTTAGTATAACAATATTAATGCAGTTTTACATATCAAACACATAAATCAATTTAAACATATTAAAAGTTCTTTTTTCGAAAGCTTCCTGTTGCTAGAAATTTAAGAGCAACAAGAACTTTTGTTTCTGGTGAAATGGGATTGTTTTTATCTGATTTTGGAAACAAATCATTTTTTAGAGTGTTAATAATTTCTGATATTTTATACAATGGTAATCGAAATTTTCGACGACATTCAACATCTGAAAAATCATTAAAGGCAGTGCGATAAACTGTTCTCCAATTTTGATTTTGTATTTTAATTTCTTGGATCAATGGAACATCCATTTCAATTAAATTATACTTGAATTTTAAACTAGTCAATATATCTTTATGGTAATTTAATAATTATATTGTAAACAGGTATATTACATTTAAATAAAACATAAAACTTTTTTAATACTG